TATATTATACATATAGTGCCCTTAACAATCAAGTAATTCTAGTCATCTCAAACTGTCTGTTCATTCATCTGTTTATCTTTCTGAATATATCCCCCTGTTCATCTATCTACATATATCTGTCTTCATGTAACTGTATTTTTAGTGATCAATCTATATCTCTGCCTTTCTATCTGCCTATCGATCTATCTGCCTAACTGCCATCTGCCTATCTTCTAATCGATCTATCAGTCACTTATCTGCCTAATTTCCTAACGACTCATATATGTATCTGTCAGTCTATATATACCAATCGATCTATCGATCTTTCTGCCTGTCTCGCTGCCTGCCTATCTGTGTTGCTCTTTATCTGTCTCCCATTCTGTCTGTTTATCTGCTCGTCTATCGGCTCATATGTTTATCTATTTATCTAGCGCTCGCTTTAAATGTCTGCCTTATCGATTTATATAACTGTTAGCTGTCGGTCTTTCTGACATGATAGACATATCTGTGTCTGCTTTTTTGTCTGTATGTCAATTCGCATTATTATATTGGTATATTTTTTACAGTTTAGGCTCTTGAGTATAACAACCTTACAAGTATATAAGCATCGCATCTCTCAACTCCGACATATTACAGGGTATCTCTCCATCAGCTACACTTCATCGAGAACCCTCTTGAACATGTTTCAAATTTTGGTCAGATCGCATTGCATTGCTCACATTGTTCAATAGATACGTCTACATTCGGTGGCAGCTTCCTCGTCAGCTTTTGGCCAGCTTTGGCCCGCCGTGCCGGCGCTCGGTCCCCCGTTTTGGGCTCGAGCTATTAACCATAATACAAGTCGCTTGTCTATTCAGCCGACTCAGAGCAACCTTGTGAGGCATTTGAGCGCACACGTTTTTGAATGCTCTGCTAAAATTGTTGTTGCTGGCATCTGAAGTATTTTAGCGGTTTTTTGGATCACAAAATTATGAAGATGGCGATGGTGTCGATGTCGTGTATCGCAAACCCCAGACAGACAGACAGACCGAAGATGCTTGACTTGATGATAGTTGATTGGCGTGAATTTGAGTGGAGTCTTGTCTTAGTGAATGTACCAACCGTGAAGCTTTCTAAAAATACATTTAGAATGCCTGCGCGGAGACTAAAAATAAGAGCTAAATCCTCTTTGGCTGAATATACATATGTACATATGTATTGCAAAATTTCGCTAAAGTCAAGAGCTTTGATCGCTTGAAAATTCCTCAATCAATTTGACTGCATCTTGATTAATTGCCAGCATGTTCCCATGCTATTCAAGCAGCCACAACAAAAGAATAATAAATACAATTTATACATTTAAATCCCCATTGATGCCCGAAAATGATTTGCGATGCCAAAAGTCAACAGCTGAAATTTCAAGACGTGGGAGTCAATCAGCCTCTAAAAGTACTAAACAAGCGAAATTTAATAGCAAACAGACATGAGATAATAAATAAATAGACATCATGTTGATTTCAATTAAGTTGGCAAATATTTCGATATTTTACGTAATTTTTATTGCGGGGTTAATGGAATCGCAAAACCATTCAATAAGAGACAGCTCAATGTCTGCCTACCTGGCTGACTGACTGGCTGTAGGTGTAACTGATTATATCTACCTGAAACGTAGCTTATACAGCTCTTCCAGGTGTCTGTAAACTTGACCTCTACGATAATTTCTTGACACATTCGACACGTATTTGGCGTGTCAGAAAATTTAATTAAAAGCAATTTAGCACAAGACTCTGATCGATGCCCGCACGGGGAGCTTCAATTGGCAGCTGAAACATCTTTGGCCAATACAAAATATTATTAAGCAAAAAGTGCAGCATTTTGTTGTTGCTGGTCCGATTGGTCAGAGCGATATCAGCATGGCTCATTGAATTTGTGGCATTTGGGGGCGTAGTCGACGTTTCGCAAAAAAGTCTCAAAAAACGTAAAAAGAAAAACCTTCAACATAATAACTTGCATTTTGAGTAGGGCAGTCGCTGCGTCTTGTCTTGTTGCTCAGAGGCTAACTGGGCGCTAATCATAAATCTGCAACGCAACTGCAGCATTAACAAAAACAGCAACAACAACAACAACAATGGTTAGAGCTATAGCCATGGCTAATCAGCGGTTGGGTCGCTTCAAGTTAATGCCTCTCAGGCACTTAGCTGTTTGAACTTTTCGACGTTTGTCTGGAATTTCGTTTCGTTCGTGTTGTGAAAATGTAAAACTAAATAAATAAATCGAACTGCTTTCGGCCACAACAATGGGCAGCTCTGCAACTGGCCATGAGGTCAATGTGCTACCGTTACAGTTAACCAACCAAAATTGGCTGACCATTCAATAGCAGCCACTTGATTTGAACTGCATTATTGATTCAAAGCCAAACCAAACAAAAAATAAACAAACAAACAAGTGTCGAGTTAGTTATAATTTGCATAGTTTATGTTGCAAATTTTACATAAAATATGCATTTTCGTACGTTTTACATAGCTATTTGTATAATTCGATATGCGCACAGAGATCAACCTCTGCTATATAGCGTAACAATTTGCATCAGTTATGAGACCTCCAAACCAAATCAGCATCAGCATAACAATAGAAATTGTTAAAGATAATTAATATTTGTTTATACAATACATTTCCCATAGGCTAATTGGCTGACAAATTGCTTTTGTCGACTGAAATACTTAATGGCGTTTAGATAAGAGTGTGAAGCGTTTCATCAATTCCAATTTCCATGAGAAATTGACTAACCAAATTGCTTAATCCACTGAGTTTATATATGAGGAAGTTCGTTTCATTATAACAAAAACAACAACAAAAAAGCCCAAAAAATTAGCAAAAAAATAAAACGTTAATTACACTTAAATGATGTTGCACAAATGACTTTATATATATACATATGTATGTATATATATGCTGTACATATTGTCAATTACTGACGCTGATTTCACCAAGAGCAGACAACATGCTTCCGGTGTGCATCTGTACAAGGTGCCAATCAAATGACTTAAGACACAAACTTTGGCGAAAGCTTCTGCTTCTGTCAAACCAAACGAGCATTGTTCAACGGTAAATCACAAATTCAGATACAAGAATATTGCAAACAATAAGCAACAACAACAATCACAACAACAACAACAACAACAATAGCAACAATTGTGGGTCATTGCCTTATTGTCAATTGTTTGCTGCGAGAGCAAAACAAATGGCAAACAAAATCAAATTTACCACAGCCTGAGTACCCCTACCTAGTGCTGGTTGCCATTGCGCAAATGTGTCTCATCCCAAAATAAATGATATTCATCTCAAGTTTATGGCTATGCACGTATTCTCTTTGCGGTTGACTTCTCATCATGATTTATAATCACGAAGTGTGTGACAGTTTTATTTTGATTTGTTTTTATTCTCGTCTTTAATTTAACATTTTTGTTGCGGTTACGTTCGCTGATTAAATCAATTCGTGCGGTTTTTTTTTTTTTTGCTTATTAAGTATTTTCATTTCGAATAATGCTGTGAGAAATTACGTATACGTTACCTATATAAACCCAAGTACACTAGGCGCAACAGAAGATTGAGGACTGCAATGTTCTAGCTTGAGCCAAAAGATTTGCTTAATTGAAATTGATATGCCAAGTAAAAGACTTAGGAAACGAACTTTAAAGGAAAGGTTTCTTTTTTGACTTGAGTGGAATAATATATTCTTTTTAATATCTTTCTTATATAGTTAGCTTAGGACTTGGGAAACGAGCTTGCAAACTCGATATTCTGCGGAAATCAAAAATTGACAATTTATACAAAAGTTTATTATATTCTATGCAAAAGACTTAGACAACAAACTTCTTCTAAGAACCCCTATTGTTTATTGTTATTCATTGTTTATTATAATTCTTGACATTATTAAAGTTCCACTATTGAAAGTCAAGATTGAAGTGTGCTTAAGCAAAAAGAATTTATTCTAGAATACAAATTAACATGATTACTCTAGCCCTTTTTTCTCTCACTGTATTTGCACTTGTTAGCAAACAGCTGTATGCAGCGGGGCAGTCAATGAATTCAAAAATAAACCTGAAGTACATTCCAGAACATTAATCATATGCGATATGTGATATGTATATAATATATATACAGGGATAATGTATAGCCAGCCAGCCATATATAAATATTTAGATCTCATATATCGAAAGTATCTTTCGGCCTCTTTGAAGCTTAATTGAAATTAATTAAATTTATATTTTTATTTATTACTTACCATGATTGTAATTTGAAACTTCTAATCAAAATTAAAGTTTAGCTGCAAAAATGTAGAAATAGATTCGTTTTGTATTTGTTATTGATTATTGATTGTTGTAATTATGCGCATAATCTGAGCATATATCAATATTTTCATTAATTCATTTCGCTTTTTGAGGGTCGTTGTCGTCGTTGCAATTATTTGGCATTTGATATCACACACACACACACACACACACACAGATTCTATATATACACAGAAAATGTAATTGTTTTTGCTGCTGTCCTCTATTTGCGATGCTTATAATGATTGTTATTAGTTTGTAGTCGAGTTTCACAGCTGCTGCAGCTAGAGTTAGTTATGAAAACATTTTCCATTGACAGACTGCGACTTCAGCTGAGATTCGGACTTGGAGTCGGCTTTGGGAGTGTGCTGCCTGCTAGCCGGTAATTGTAGACGCGCGGCATTGTTCGCATATTGAATGACGATAACGCTCAATGTGACAATATCAAATCAGATTTGAGATCTCAGAGGCAAAATATCAAATGAACTGTGCTGCGCTCATTATGCAATCTCGGGACTGGACGGAACTGGACCCTATTGCCACAGTGAATGTCGCCGAGAGTTGGCCGATTGTTGCGATTGTTTCGTTTGCTTTGGTGACGCTGACAATTTGCAGTCTCAATTGCAGACACTCGTAAATAGATCTGCGACCCGCCGACAGCTGATAATAAACTTCCCGTACTGCTCGCTAACTGACCTAGTCAAACTTTTTGCGGCGTCGGCATCGGCGTCGGCGACGGCGTCAGCGTTTGTCGTGCATGCGTAAATAACAATTTAAATGACAATTATTTTTAGTTGTTTTTTTTTCTGCTTTAAAATTTAAAAGTGCGCGTAATTTAAAATTGCTTGCTTTGGGCCTTAGTCGCTGTCTTTCAGTGTCGCGACTGCAGCCAAATGTGCGCGCATGCCACGCATGTTAAGTGCCGTCTGCGCCGCAGTCCCGGCGCGCCGTCAATTGACATCGTAAAAAAAAAGTGTCTTATAAAAAGTCTGAAGAATTGTTATGTGTCATGGCTGCAGCCCAAAAAAAAAAAAAAAAAAAAAAAAAAAAAAAAAAAAAAAAAAAAAAAAACGAAACGTGACTATGTAGCAACTTGACCAATCTTAATATATTGTGAACGATAATGCCTGACTTCAATCGTAAAGTTCTGCGTTTTCGAAACGTGTTTTTGAGGCGTCAAGTGAGCGAGATCTGCATGATCTTAAATGGTATTGGATATGATCTATATTTACATATATCTATTTAATTAGTTTGCTTAATATCTTAAGTGGAGAAACAAGTTTAGTTAAGATGAGTAGTACATGGGTTTTATTGATTGGTGAACTCGTTTTTTTCCACTGTACTTGAAACAAGTATTAAATAGAATTCGATTTGCATTCCAGTTCTGTTTTATATGGATTCATTTTATTTTTTATTATAATTTTTTTTTTCTAAATACAAAAAGAAAACAAAATGCTTTGGCATCAAAGAAGTTTTTTTTTTTTTTTTTTAATTTACGCTAAGTGCTTACAATTATCTGAAAGTATTTCCGGCTTTTAAACAGCATAACTACAATATATGTGAATGCCTACTTGGGCAATTGAAAAACCTTAGACACAAACTCATTTCAATGTTGTTGCCATTAAAAGCGCGTTTAATTTTGTGTTATTATGCACATGATATGAGCTTGAGTTATGTTTATTTTTTATTTTTAAATATTTTTTCATATTTCATATTCAATTATGCTGCTAGCTTTTCCCTACCATTTGATTTATGCGGCCTTAAAAACTGCAGTTCGCTTAACTGTTTGAGGCGTTTACTTCAAATGTGATTTGATTAGTTTCTTTTTTTTTTTTTTTTTTAGTGCGTGCAACGACGACAACGACAAGAACGCCTCCTGCTCAGGCTCGGAGGCTTTGGCTTTGATTTATTTATTTGCATAAATTTAACACGGCTCTGACAGCAGCCGAGTGTTTTTGTTTTTGTTTTTTGGGCTGTGGCCTGGCTGCCTATAGGCGCATACTCGTAGTTGCATAGCTACACGCAAGTTCGTTGCCTAAGTCTTTTGTGTTTTTTTTTGTGTGCAGCAAGGAATTTGCATGGCTGTGCCAAATTTTACTGCCTGAGAACTGCACTGGTGTGTGTGTACATGTATGTGTGTGTATGATTTATTATTTATTCATCATAATTAACACCATTGCAACGCGACTTTTAATTTGGATTTTTGCAATATTTTCGTTTGATCTGTTAACACTTCACATACATTGCTGAATTTCGTTAGTTGGTGCTGCTGCCGTTTTATTGAATGTTTACTGTGCTGGCTTTGTTTTGTTTTCGTTTCGTTTGCTATACCGAGGGCAGCGCTTTAAGCGTGACAAAACACATTGGAGACACGGGCCACACTGAAAGCAGCGCATGTGGTAGCATCAGCATAAAGTCTCAGGTCTCAGGTCTCAGGTCTCTGCTCGCCGCTCTGTGCATCAGCTGCTAGCCGAGGCGCCGCACGAAGCCAGCACGAGCTGCCTGCCGACTGTCGGCTGTCGGCTGTCGGCCAGTTCGGCTTGATTTTTCGCTTTTCGCTTTTATTTTGGTTTTTCATTGTGTTTGTTCGATTGTGTTGCCAAAGCAAGTTTTTCCCATATGTTGCTAGGGCAGCTTCCGGCTGGACATGTTTCTGGAATTTCAATTGTTATATACGTACACATACATACATATATACACATATAAATAAAGATGTTCATTTATATATTTGTTTCTTCTTGATTTGCATTTAATGAAGCTTATACATAAATTGCAATTTTTACAATTTTTTGTATTAATTAATCAAGTGTATATTTATATACACACATTTGCTTTAACTTGAATGCGGTATCCAAATTTACGCAGCTCTTGATAAATTTTTGGAGTTCCTTTGCATCAAATATGTTAATGCTTTTTACATTTCTGGAAATACTTTTAATGAAGCACATCACAGCAGGATTACAGTATATCAATATATGGTATATATACATGTGCTTTCGGCCAGTGAACAGCCCTGACCTCTTTAATGGCCAAAACGTTTAGCCTAAGTTGACATTACGTGAGCGACATTGAAACTTGATATATATAGCACACATATATGCCTATATGTGGATATATCACATGTATATAACCCGTTATCTTTGTATACTAGACTGCACGCCTTGCCTGAAGGCTGCGCCTAAATTGGAATATAAGCCACGCTGATTCTATAGCTAAAGACATTAGATATAAGTATATCATATATAATATCACACTTATATGTACATACATCATCTATATTCAAATTTTTATTATATTAAGCCAAATGTTCATCTCAATTTGTATTTCCTCATCATAAATCAAAGTCTTAGTTGAACTTTCCAAAAATGATTTCCATACATAATTCTGTATGCATTTGTCTCAGGTTCAGGGCACTTAAAACAGCTATAATTAAAATGTAAATCTAATTTAAAAGCCATATCAGCCAGGCGGACGATCGATTAGCATACACAAGTTTTTGCAATTATGCGAGTGTGTATTTGGTTCCAATAGTAAATCAACAGAAATGTCTGCTTAAAACGCTTTGGCTTGACAAGTTGATTTTATGTCGGGGCGGGCCATGTACCAAACAGGTCTTACAAAAGATCTCTATCGCATTTATGGTCTTTTTATCGTTTTTCTTATTATTATTATTTTTTTTTTTTTTAATTTACAGCACATTTGATTTTTTTTCTCGTGCTTATGATTGATCTGATGATTTTGTGGGCCGTACAAGTGGCAGCTACTGCTTGATATTTTTTTTCGGCTCTTGGAGAGTGTGGGAGAATTTTTTCAGCGTTCGCATAATCTGATGGTAATTTTTGTAAACTATCGAAAGTGACAGGCTGGCTAATTTATAGCTTAAGATTGGCTAAGGCAAGGCAACGCTTTTTAGAGAGCAAGAATTAGAGTTTGATAGAGGGGCTAAAACGGGCTTTGAGGCAAAACGGCGGCTAATGCGGTTTCTAGGAGATGTGCTTAGAGATTGAAGCAATAACTTAATAAATAACTGATTGACTATCAATTTATATAGAAAGTCTTGGCTATGCGTGATAGGAATGCTGCGGGGGGTATATGGTATGATATGATATAGGTTTCTTCAGTTGCCGTGTATGCCAAGGATAATATTCCTATAATTGAGGCTCAATTTAGTATATTGTCTAAAAAATGTATGATATAATATATGGATTCAGATGATAATTATGATGTCTGCTGAGCTAATTATGTATCAACTAAGCTATATATACATACTAAACTAGTTTAGCGGTTAATTATCTACCCAAAAAGTATATTAGGAAACCTTAAGCTAAAATTGAGCTGTGTGCAAGGCTTTTATGCATTTTGTCCTTGGCATTGATTAAGCAGACATCTGATGGTGGATAAGACAAAGTATAAATATTTATATTTATTTGTATATATAGAGTATATTGTGTCAAAGAATTGGAAAATCTTTTTTGTTGATATAAAGTATTCGACATCCCAAACAAGTGTATTATTAATATGTATACTGAATTATTTATAGCTAAGATAAGGTCAACAATTTTTCAGACCACCCTCTTTCATAGTAAATTCATATTTATAATTCAAATAATATTATCATTTTTGTCAGCTCTGATAAGTTGACAGATAACAGACAGATATCTATGTATGATTTTACCGCCCATTGCGTAAATCGAAGCCTAACATGAGATAAGATAAGATAATGTGGAGATGAGCTTGCAAGTCTATAGAAATAATTTTTACATATTAAGCACATTGTGAAACGAAACAAATGTAAATATAGCTGTAACGACACATAAAATAATATCTATAATTAATATTGAAATAAGTCTATTAWTCATATACAAAGTATTTTAGATAAGATCTTTAATTAAGTCAGACAAAAATGCCTTGGCATTGACTTGGCGCTGGTGGACTGTCCTCAAGTCGCAGCTCGTATGCCAACCGCAAGATCATTAACGCTCTCTCGATGTACTCTATATAGGGTTACATCATGGCTACTGCAGCTAGCATTGCTTGGGCCCAGTTGTCATAATTTATAAGTGCAAAGCCACCCAGCTGAGGCTGTCAGCTGGCACGGCCTACAGTTTTGCAATATTGAATGCTGAATGTGCTAATACCGAGAATATTATTGATCTTGAACGCTTGACTGAGTGCTACAGATCTGGAATAGATATCGACATGACAGCCCCAGCCAGATATGTAGTTGATGCTGGCCGTTCATGGTGCAGAGAGCCAGCTCAATGCCTTTTATTTAATGAGCGCACATTCATTTATCTTTATTAGTAATGGCAATTGGCAACGGACGACGCCAAGATAAGCGACAAACGGCCGGACAGCTGAGCAGTTTATGAGCCAATTTACAAATATCTCCAAAGACGCTTAAGACTCTGGCAACGTATCTAAATGCCATTTGCATATGCTTGAATATATCCATGTATGTATACACATACATATTTCTTATATATTTGCAAACTCATATTCAAAACTCTTCTTAGCTAATATGCATTTAAGTGCCGGATTTGTGAGTAAACCTGATTCGGTTCTATGCAGCGCCCAAAATATATGAAATGAGGCGAAAAAAACATCCGACAGTCAACAGCATTGAGCGTATCGGATTTGATTGAACAGTTAATTAATGATCACCGGATTAGTTTCCAACAGCAGCAGCAGCAGCCGCAGCAACGGGCGAAGCATGTGCGACAAGTACCCACAGATTGGATGCTGTACGCCGCGGGCAGCAAATTAATCAACGCATAAGAAGTCTACATAGACGTAGGTGTCTAGATCTCGATTCGCATTTCTCAGATAGGGAAGTCACACATATACATATATATCTATATATATGCATGTTTTCTACAAGCAACAATACATTTATTCAATTCATATCGAAAGGAGTTTGTCAACTTTAGATTCATTCTACTCTCAGACAGAACAAGACTCCATTGAGGTTCAAGGTTGCTTATCCTGCATAAGCTTTGTTGTCAATCCATTATGGGAAAGTTGTTTGAAAGTGCAAACGGGCCTGAATTGCAATGGAATTTAAGGCTCTTTATGAAATACAGAACATAGGATTACATGCTGTCATCTTAAGGTTTTCTTAATTTGTTGCTTAAGTATGTATAACGTTGAAGTACATTCGAATATGTTAAATATATTATCATTAATACAAGCAACATGTCCAAGGGATATACAATGACAGGGATACTACTCTATACATACAAAATCTGTATTTGCTCAATTGAACAGAACACGTTTCATGAAAATGTTTCAGACAGCCCTCGCATAACATATTGCTAAATACAACTACTGAATCATTTACCTTTTCTCACCTGCCACACACTTGCAGCTTAAACATAAACAATTTACTCAATCAATATATTTATACATATATTAGCATAACAAAGAAAAAAATAAAGGGAAAATGCATTTCCAGTTATAAAATTACACAAAATTAACATGAAAACAAAATATAGATATATATATAGACATATATATATGCATATATAGAAAACCATTTCTTATGAACTAGAACAATGGCAATTAGCGAAAGCGCTTGCGAATGAGCCGGCCTGTTGAAAGACCGGCTGGCTTTTAGTCCTGGTGCGTCGAACTTTCCTCCAGATTGCAGAACACATTACGCATTTTGTCTAGATCCGGCGGCGCAGTGTCCGGATTGCGTATCCACATAATGTACGCCTGTTTGTCGGTGCGTGTCAGCGGCTTGAAGTTGCGCGGATTCTGTGCCTCCTCGTCCTGCAGCTTCGAATTGTAGCGCGCGTACAAAAAGATACGGTATCGCCAATTGTCAAAGGTCTGCTTCCACTCCGTCACATGCTTGACCGCGCCCTGGGGCACGGCGTTCAATAGATTTGCCAGCTTGAGCCAGTACGGGTCGAGAACGGGATCGTTGCGTCGATGGTCGTTGATGAATTGATGCTGTTGCAGAAAGTGCACGTAGAGCTCCTTCTGGCGCTTTGACATGCGTTCCTTGCGTTCTGCGGACAACAGAGAGAGAGAGAGAGAGAGAGAGAGAGAGAGAGAGATAGAGAGAAATATGTTAATATAGAGTAAAATTTAGAGCATAGCTCAGAACTGCTTTCACGTACGTCGAATGTTATTTGTGCCCGATGGGGTTAAAGCCATGTTGACGCCTTGTTGTTGTTGATGCTGCTGTTGTTGTTGCTGCTGTTGATGCTGTTGCTGTTGCTCCTGCTGTTGCAGCAGCGCCAAATGTTGCTGTTGTTGCAAATGCTGATGCTGTTGCTGCTGCTGCAACATGAACTCATGCTGTATGCGCTCCTGCAACAGCTGTTGTTGTTGTTGCTGCTGCTGGTGCTGCTGCTGTTGCTCGTCGTCGTGCTGATGATGATGCGGAATATGTGAAGGCGGTGGTGGCAATGGCAACGGCGCTGTTACCATTTGCTGCTGCAGTTGCTGTTGTGGTTGTGGCGAGTGCGGCGAATCCGGCAACTCGTCCTGCGTGTCGTAGTCCATCTTGGGTGTGCACGGATCATAGGCGGGCATGCCCAGCTCCGCAGATGCAGCACCACTACTAGCCTTATCGATGCGGTACTTCAGACTCTCCTGCTCATCATCCAGCGTCATTGTAGCCGACGAGGGCACAGCGTCTATGACAGTGTTGCTCTGGCAGAGATTTGTGGGCTCCTCTGGCGTGGGCGATTCGTTGAGCAGCTTTTGAGCACCGCAGCGACATTGGGGATGAAGCACATAGTTCTCCAAGGCGCCGTCGTACACTGCAAGCAAAGGAATCATGTTAGTTACAAGGTTTACACAAATGAACATTCTTAAGTCTACAAATAGAAACTAGATGAATCGAAATTGCATTATATATGTTGCTTAAACATAATGTATTTAGCGCTTAGTATTAGTTAAAGTACACATCATCTTCATTCTGATTATCATTAACATTTGCACTGGTTGGGGACTTGTGGACTGCCTTAGTAGTCGTAGGTGTTCGTTGCGCTTGTGCTCTCATCCAACGGCACAAACATATCCATTTTATCATAATCTGGCGGTGCAATGTGCTTGTGACTGGTCCACATAGCATAGGCCTTCTGGTCGGTCGCCGTCAGCGGCTTAAAGTTCTTAGGGTCACTCGTCTCCGACATGCTCAGCTTGGAGTTGTATCGTGTGTACATGAAAATGCGATATCGCCATGCATCGAACGTTTGCTTCCAATCCTCTACATTCTTGACAGCGCCCTGTGGCACGCTATTGAGCATGTGCGCCAACTTGCTCCACAGCGGCTCTGTGAGGCCATCGTGACGACGATGATTCGACAGCATGCAGGGATTGTCCTCGAAGAACTTGACGTACAGTTCCTTTTGGTCCTTGGACATGCGTTCGCCACGTTCTGAAAGGCAAATTAACAGTTTTAGATATATATATACATCTCCATCACCAGCTGCTACTCACTTCTAAATCGGCTCATCAGTCCGGGCGTGTACGGCGACTGTTGGGAAGTATTTGGTGGCGTCATAGTGGGCAGACTGTGCGTATAGTTGGAGAAGAACTGCTGGGCAGGCAGCGAGTGCTGCAGTGTTTGTGCCTGTTGCTGATGCTGATGCACCTGCTGCTGCTGTTGTTGTACGCGCGCCTGAAAGCGAGCTGCACGTGCAGCACGCTCTGCTTCTGATTCAGACTCCGCCTTCGGTATTATGTCCATGGGATCTATTGATTGTGTTAACGATTCGGGCGTACGTTCCGCATAGGTTTGTGTGAGCCGCAGCTTTTGGTTTGTGTCTGCATGATCCGAATTCGAATTGTTCGCCTGCTCCAATGGTGAGTCGACTGCCTCATTGCAGACGCCCAGAGCTGGCGAATTCGGCTGTGAGCCGGGTAAGGCTGGGGGGCCAGCCACATAGTCGTGGGCGTGGCTCACACTCTCGTTGGAGCGCTGAGGCAGTGGCACGTGCTGTTGTATTGGATGTGGATGATGGAGCTGCTGCTGCTGCTGTTGTTGTTGGTGCTGTTGCTGCTGCTGCTGCTGTTGTTGCTGTTGCTGTTGCTGCTTGATTACTGCCATTGAGCAGGAGGGCTCGAAGGAGAGCAGCTCCTTGGCGTGCCCATCGTCTAGCGCTGCAAGAGGAAGCATTTTCAATGTGGATTTTTATTATAGTGCAATTGTCAGAGACTTACAAGCAAAGCACGTTTAGCGGTTGCCGCGTCTATATACACAGATAGATCTACAAATGCATTCGCATTCACATATAGTGTTTTTCACATACAAATGTATGCATACATATATGTATGTGTATGTAAATGGTTCCAAGTTTTGTTAAAAGGCTTAAACGCTAGTCTGTAACGCGGCTAACTTAAATGACTATATGAAATTACCTTGGCTTATTTCAATAACGAAATTTGTGAGGTCGTGACGTTGGGCCAAATAATGTAACAGCAGCTCATCGGGTATGTTGAAGCCGATCTTTTTGTTGCGAAACTCAAAATTGTAGATGCCAAATGCAGCGCGAACTGAAAACGAAACGATATCAGAAATAGTTGCTAAACGGGAAACGGGGGAAAATTGCTTAATTCCAATGTCCAAATCACAATTTATGCTGCGTTTGCAGCCCTTAAAAGCATTTTGGGTGTTGCTCTCTTTATACACACATTTTTCTGAAGGCAATTAAGTTTAACGACCTGCCCTGGGCCTGTGGCAGCGTGCGCTGTTGCCTCCTGTACCACGCTCCCCCGCCCCCTCTACAGATGAGCACCTGCTACTGTCCGTTAAGAAGGCTTACCAACATTCTTTAAGTCCCATATGTTTAAATTTCGATTCTCCTCGGGCACGCCAATCATGAGCAGCTTCTTAGTATCGCGAAATTGAAATGGAATTATAATTCCCGACCGCAGCACCATTTTCTATGCGCCACCACACAATTTTCACAGATTTTCATAAATTTTCCACGTTTCTCTTTGTGCCTATCTTCGTAATTGTTTTGGTCTCTGTCCCTTCCTTGGCATTTGCATGTTTTACTTTTTCGTAAACAGCCTGTACTATCGATGGTTATCGATGTTCGAGTGTCGATGCTTAGAAAATTGCAAACTACGCTTAGGGAACATTTTGATGTTCGTTTTAGGAATTATTTTGTAGTACAATAATAATAATAATATTTGTTAGTTGTAGTTTTAGTTCGTTCCAAGCTTAATTATTGCTCACGCACTATTGGTAAATATCGTTTACTTCTATCGCCTGGCTCTCTGTGTGCAGCCCTAGATCAACAGCTGTGAAATTAAAAACAAACTTGACTCATTTAAGTTTATTTTCTTTTTGCCATTATAAGTAAACAGAATATGCTCGAAAACTGCCAAAAACATCACATGGTATTGGGCCTTACCGCCCTGACTCTAGTCACCATACTAGTGCTAATAATTGAGTCCCGTTATGCAGCAGAGGGCAGCTTGGCTCGACGTCGTGGCGAGAAGTATGTCATCGAGAATAATTCGACCTGCTGGAAACACGAGACCTACACCGTTGTCCAGGAGTGTCATCCTTGCTCTGAGTTCGATATTGTGAGTCGCAGCCTTGGCGTCTGCATTCACACACACTACAAGGAGGTGCTGCGCTGCAAGAGCGGCGAAATTGTGACCAAGAGTTGCGATCGAGTGGCTCTCATTGAGCAGCGCAATTTCATCAAGTTCGAAGCTATTGCATTCGTGTTCGGAGTGCTCAGCTATTTGGTGAGCTATGCCAGGGATCGTGTGCTCTCCAGGCGCAACTACATGCGCATCGAACGACAGTTGAATCGGGTGCAATAGTCGAGCAATCAGCCATTTTAATGGATACTCATCACACTGTATATAGAAGCATATACGATACGAATTGACTAATATTGTAAACGATTTGCATAATTTATTTAGTTGTAAGTACATTAAATTCACACACACTTAACTAATACTCCAAGGGGAATGAAAATATTGCGATTGTTGGGAATGCAGCTGTCCATGATTGGGGACAAGCCGAGCCGCGCTTCCTTTGGCGGCTCTGGTCAACACAATTGGTGCATAACATAATTGTTTGTCTAATACAAATATAATAATAATAATAACAGCTTTTGATCGGCAGCATCTACTTCCTCCAGTCGGGTATAAGATCCGGCTCTGCGCCCTTGACGGCTGTTGGAGGCGCTGCTGTGGGCAGCGCTGGTGGGGATTGCTGCGCATCCAACGTCTCTTCGCTGGTGGTGCTGGCATTGCTGCACGCCTTCAGCGAATTATCCGTCATGGGCAGCGGTTTGGCCACACCAATGCGTACCACGCCCTTGGGTGCACCCTTCAAGGCCTGCACAGCCTGATCCAACGAAGCGTTCTCCAAATTAATCGAGTTGACAAATAGCAAACGGTCGCCCGGTATTAGCCTGCCATCCAGCTGAGCCACGCCGCCAGGGACTAACGAACGGATGACAATCAGTGTATCGTTCGAGTCCAATGGATCCTGGTAATCTAATATAGAGAAGCCCAAGCCGCGATCCCCTTTCACTAGTTCTATAATCTGCGGCTGCGACGACCACATGGCCAAGCCGGTGAGCGGTTCCAGAGAACGAGATTTCAATTTGTTAAAAGACGCAGCTGCCACGGCCACTGAGTCCGCGTCAGCCACGGAGCCAGCTGTGGCCAGACTGCCATCGGACTTGGCCTTGACCAGACGATCTGTGGCCGGCAGTAAATTCTCAAAGTTGTTGCTCAGCTTCTTGAGCGTATCATCCGAGAAGGGCAGCAGCGAAGTCACCTTGCTGCGTCCACACACCATACGCACATCCAATGGCAGCTCCTTCAATATGGCCACAACTTCCAGATGATTCATGCCCAACAGTCGCTCGCCATTGACCTCCAACAACTCATCGCCAGAGCGAAGCACGCCATTCACTCCGACTGGGCCATCGGGCAGTATGGAGCGTATATAATGATGTGGGCGCACCTCTCGGCCACCTTCCACATCCACGGTGCCCTCCAAGGAGATGCCCAAACCGCCAACAGCAAACTTTTTGATTTGCGCCACAATCACCTCCATATCATTGCCCACTATCTTTTGCCATTTGCGTACGATCTCCGCCTCCACTTCCTCGGTCAGCTCTGGCTCCATGTAGTACTTATGGCGTGTTATAAGGCTCGAGTTCTTTGCGTGTACAGCTGCCTGCGAACAGGGATAGAAATGAGGCATCTAATATGTATAAAGTTTGTATGTGTATAAGTACTTCCTGCTTATCAGCTACAACGTCTGTGGCCACAATCTTAGACGCTCCTTCTAGGGAATCTCGCACAGCTAACAACTGCTTGCCCGCACCAAAGCTGCTCAGCGTGGTGGTGGTAGCCAGCGAGCTCGAAGGCGGCGTGGTCATCATAAAGGCTTCCGGCGCAGGCAGCGTCTCATCCTCTGCCTCTCTGCTAACTGTCGTAGACGAAGGCGTGGCTGGGGGTGGGGGCAAGGGAGCACGAGAGGGCGTGCCTGGTGAACTAGTAGGCAGCTTTTCGTTGGCATTGGCAGCAATGGCTTGCTGCAGTTGCTCGTATTTGGGGCCGCGTAGGTAACGCTCTAGCCGCAAATTTACCACTTGACCAGACTTTTTAAGCAGCTCCACAGCCTGGTGATTGGAATATCCCTGCAGCGATTGGCCATCCACCTCGATGATGCGATCGTTAACGCGTATGCGTCCGCTCAGATCAGCCGCTGAGCCCGGAGAGACGCTCTTTACAAAGATTCCGGAAAGTTCTTCCTTTTCGCAAACATAACCGGCAATGGTGATGCCCAGACCATTCGCATCTTTCTTCAGTTCCACCTGCAGTTTCTCCGTTTCTGGCAAGGCCAGCAGCTCGTCCAAATCGATGCTGGGATCAATTAGCATCGATGTCTCACCACGATACACAAAGCGCTCATCCTCCGTCGTGGTTTGTGGCGTTGAGGCCGTCGAGCTCTCGCCAAATATCTCCGGGTAGCCAGTTGATATGAGATAACGCTCCAGCTCGGCAGGATCGCTGAGCACACGCGTAGGCACCACGGCGCTGCCCGGCTCCAAGGCATATTGTGGCGTAGGCAAGTTTTGCTCAATCGGACGCACCACAACAAGACGCACATGGGTGCCCGATTGTCGAAGCACTGCGGCTACCTGCTCAGAGACCATCTCGTGAAGGTTCACATCGCCAATCTGGAGAATGTGATCTCCAGAGCGCAGGCGCCCATCACGATCGGCCACGCCCCCTGGTAGAATGGTCTTTACAATAACGCCCGAATTGCGTGCACCAATTATGCCAAAGCCTAGACCTGTGCCGTCGTTGACCAGCTCAATGGCCTGGATCTGGGCATAGTCTGTGGCATATAGATCCGCAGCAGCTGACTTGGAATTTTGACTTTGTGGACGTTGCTCCACGTCGCCACCCGTGGAACTGGACTTGTCCGGACTGGCCGGGGCAGACGAATCGTACATGACATCGCCGCCATTCAGGCTGAGCACCAAATTTCCTGAAACATCAATGTCGAAGTCGTTCGGCAACATGGACGGATGTTGGCCCAGCTGTATGCCCAGCTCGTACAATGACTCCTGAACATGGGCAATGGTACGAAAAACGGGATCCGTTAATATACCCATTATCGTATTTAAACTATCCGCCGTTTGCATTTGCAGCTTGGCATCTTCCGATTCGTCAATGCCCTTTTTCACAGCCTCGATTTGCTGTAGGGCACTGGAAATATCGGCACTCAGGTGCATTTTGTACCGTTAATTGTGGGTGCGGTCAGCTAGCCAGCCTCCACTTGCACTCGAGCGTAGCGCTGGAATTTCCGTATCAAACTTGATAGAGTGGGGGAGGGGCGTACTGCACAGGTGTCAGTAATTGAATTATGCAGCAAAATATCGCTTTGCTTGATTCGAATTGAGCAATTTATTGATGCTTTAGTTGAGCTTAAGGCGAATTTAAGCAAACTGAAATGGTTATACAATTTTATATACTTGTTTTTTAGCACAAATTATTATTCTTTGTTGCTTTACTTGCTGTTTTTTAATTATGCTGTGTTTTACCTGTTCGTAAAAATGAATAACCTATCGATATGTACTAAGCTAATCGATACCATAATAAAGCGACACCGATACTTCAGACTTAGTATGCTGCTCACGCTGAACTACAGACAATTTTTATTTCCACAATAAGTTAATTAAAATCTTATGTACCCTGCATCTGCATGCGCTCTTCCTCCTCCAGTTCCATTTCCAATTTACGAAACTCTTGGTAGAACTCACGTGTCAATTTCTTCATTTGTGGTGTCAAATATCTTGGAAATATATCTGTAAAAAAACCGTTAACCAGTTAGCTGTTTGTTTGCTAGTTTTGTTAACTAATTTACAATTAAACTCTATTATGAGATCACCAAACTCCTCAATTCGTTTATTAGCTTGCTTGATTGCATTCACAGCATCCAAATTACGGCACTTGGGCAGCCCTTCCAGTGGCACAATCTTCTGGTAGCCCGGAGTAACCACATCTGAGATGACGATCTTCAACTGTCGCTTGTCTAGGGTATTCACGTAGAATATGAATCCCGTATAAGCCTGAGCCAGATTGATGTCATAGCGATAGACCAGGTCATGCATGTTGCGCCGCTCAAATGTCGGATGCGGCCTGTCGGCGGCAATGAATATAATGTCACCAGGGATGGTCGTTGGGTAGCGATCACCCTCCTCCTTAAAGCAATAGCGTGTTCCGGCCGTGGTGCCCGGCTGTATGATGAGCTTAAGTGTGTGCTTGCGTTTCTCCAGACGGGACTCCCTAGCGTCGACAATCTCCTGACGCCACACATGCATCAGCTTCACACAACCCGTGCGTACCTCCTCCAATGACAAATGTATAATACGTTCCGTATTGGCATCCTTGTGTCGCACTCCCACGCCATGCTCCCTCGTGGCATACAAGCTTGGTGGATTCGTAATGGCATCAATAACATTCGCATACGGCGAATAGCTGGAGAATACACGCTCGTACACCTCCATGTGATCGCCATGGTATTGATATGGTGGAAAGTAGCCATTCGGCAGCATCACGCCCTCAAACAGGCCTGCCTCACCATAGCGATCATAGATGGCACGATATAACTCGTTGCCCAGCACATCATATGCCATATTAATGTACGCCCACTGCTTGGTCTCCGCCATTGGAGACAAATGCGTCAATCTGCCCTCCTGGGCCATTGGAACGAAATCCAGCTCATATTTCTTATCTCTGTGTGGACACAAGCGCACAGCCATGCGTCGATATGCCAGGGTGATCTGCTCTTTGGTGACATTGCGTGGAATGTCCAGCACGGCGTAATAGTCCAGTTCCGGACGATTCATACTCAATAGATATTAGATAATTAAAATAAATAAAACGAATTTTATTATCTGAGTTTATGTTAGTGGATAGCTTGGTTATTATTTGAAAATGCACGCACAGTTTACTGAGAATTTGATTTGAGGTATCGTTTCTCAATGTATATACAAACTGAACTTGATCAACTTATAGTGGGGGGAGGCAGATTTATATTAAAATTAAACTTATAGTGTAAACAATCAACAAGAGCGCTGATGGAACGGATCAGTCGAGGTCATTGGTGCTGACGCCAGAATATATCGGCTCCTCCTTGCCAGATTTGGACTTATCCTTCTCTGTTGCATCCTCTGTTGCTTTTGGTTTTGCAGTGTCGGCCGCATTGTCGGCCTTTGCTTCTGTTTCATCGTCCTCCTGAGTCGCGTCGGCAGCATTTGGTACCCAGAGACCAGAATCCACGCAACGTTTCATATGATACTTAGCTTCCTCCACCGGCATGGTGGCAATAATCTTCTGCAGTTGCTCAACGTCGCGTGACTCGAAACAAGCTTTGAGCTCCTGTAAGGAAAGAATTGATATTCTAGAAGTTTCTATTGTAGAACTTTCTCTTTAAACTTACATCTGGCAGGGATTCAAAGACATCGGCAGGATCTAGACCGCCTGGTCCCAGGCGTTCACGTTTCTCTTCCTCTTCTACCTCGGCAATGATCTCCTGCAACTTCTCCTGTGCTCGCTTTTGAATGCGTTCCTTAAAGCCCTCAATTTCACTTTCGAACTGAGCACGGTACTCAGGATCACATTGTTGGATTTTGGAAAAGAACGAGCTGAAGCAAGCGCGCGGATCGCGGTCAAGCTGTTTAGCCAACTCCAATATATATTGCATGCAGATGCACTGATGCGCCACATGAGCCATCAGATCATGCTTTTTCTCCATTTCCAGATTGATCGACCAAATGACCAAATAGTTTGCTGTCTCCTCGCACACAAGCTCCACATGCTGCTGCAGGAAGCGCTTGGAATCGTCGTATTTGCGCAGCATACCGTACTGCTTGCACAGTTGCTCATTCTTTTTGACGAACTGTTTCATGCGCTGCTCGCGCTCCTCCTCGGTCAGGTTTTCATCTGCAGAGCGTGCAGGCTTCGTATTGATCACCGTCTTTTCGAAACCTGGTTTGCTTATTGTATCCACATTCCATGGCATTTTTTTCTCTTTCTTCAGCAGCTCGTTCTCCTCACGATCGAGCGCCTTGCCCTCATTTTCGATTTTCTCTAATTCAAGCTGTAATATTATCTGCATTAGTAAAGCACAATTTGACAGCAGGTCTCTTAGTTACCTTAAGAGCTGCCTCGTCACCCTCCTTTTTGCTGATGCGCTCCTTCACATCCATTAGACGCGCCTGGAAGCTTTGTCTTTTTTTCTTCAACTCTTCCTTTTCCTTCTCCGCTTCGGCCATTCGCTCGACTCGAGCCTGATGCCGCCAGCGGAAAAGCGAAGGCGTGTCTATATTTGGGTGTGTTTCGTCCTCATCGTCGGAAATCTGTACACAATTACGAATACATTCAATACATTTATCAGATTTACTTTAGCTGCACTCACCTCAATATTTTTCCACTTGCTGTAGTCAACCATTTTTGCAATGCAATTTTATTTTTTTGTTTTACCAGCCTTACGTTTTGCAAGTTCTAGAAGTATAGCGATGTACTTGAATCAATGCATCGATAATTATAATTTATTCGATAGTATTCGTTGTAATCGATGGTACTTATACCTTTTATTGGGGCAATGATTTCAACGCAAAGCTTTCAACATTATCGCTGTAATTAATGACGAAATGAATATTAAATTTGAAAGTAACAGTGACTTAAACATGAAGTTATTCTGTCATGACATTTATATCATTATCTGAAGTGTTCAAGCTGAGGCGGTATCTGATAATCTGAGCAGTGTTGGGTAACAAAATGAAAATAATTTAGGCGCGCATTGACATAAATTTGAAATAGGGCACCTGGTTAAGGTTAATGCATGCAGAAGATAAACAAAGGAAATCAACAGGAAACTCAAGTTGGTCTCGCAATGCAAGCAATAAGAAACAAATAGAGGGTGAGGTTAAATGAATTTTTAATAACCATGACTGAGCCCAAGGCGCTGGCCAACGTATCGAAATACTCACAGTTCAAGAACAATGGCCAGCTATTATAGACGCAAGAAACCGGACATGGTATTCCTGAATGCCAAGCCCATAAACAGTGGAAATGCACAGGCCTATTTACATGGCGTACGGAAATATTCCATTGGATTGGCTGAGCGTTTGGACAGTGATTATATACCGCCACCCAATGATGGAAAACGAAGCTCAGTCAGCACAATTGCCTCCAATAATCCAGATTTTACACCGGTAGGCAAGAAATTATTGTCTTTAAATTCCAATTTTTAATGTAGTTTATTTTCCAAGAGCATTTTCTATCGCAATATTGCGCCGGTTAATTGGTTTCTGCGCATCATTGGCGTCCTGCCCATTGTACGACGAGGTCCTTCGCGAGCAAAATTTGCTCTAAACTCAGCTGCTTTTGTTTATTCCGTTGTTTTCTTTATGCTGCTAGCGGTGAGTTTTTTTCAACTGTGAAAACGAACAGTTTATGGATTAATCATTCAATTCAGTTCTATGTGGGCTATGTGGCCAACAATCGTATTCATGCTGTGCGCTCCCTTAGTGGACCCTTCGAGGAGGCCGTCATTGCGTACCTATTCCTGGTGAACATCCTACCAATTATCGTCATTCCGATTCTCTGGTGGGAAGCAAGGAAAATCGCTCGATTGTTCAATGACTGGGATGACTTTGAAGTGCTCTACTATCAAATCTCTGGTCACAGCTTGCCATTAAATCTGCGCCAGAAGGCGGTCTATATTGCCATCGTGCTGCCCATACTTTCGATACTCTCTGTCGTTATCACACACATAACAATGTCGGATTTGAATCTCAACCAGGTGGTGCCGTATTGTATATTGGACAACCTGACAGCCATGCTGGGCGCCTGGTGGTTTTTGATCTGCGAGGCAATCAGCACCACGGCGTATCTGTTGGCGGAACGTTTCCAGAAGGCCTTGAAGCATATTGGTCCGGCTGCCATGGTGGCTGATTATCGTGTCCTCTGGCTACGTTTGAGCAAGCTGACCCGCGATACAGGCAATGCTCTATGCTACACTTTTGTGTTCATGAGTCTCTATTTGTTCTTTATCATAACTTTGTCGATTTATGGACTTATGTCACAGCTTTCAGAGGGATTCGGCATCAAGGATATTGGATTGACCATAACGGCTCTTTGGAATATAGGTTTACTCTTCTATATATGCGACGAAGCGCATTATGCCTCGGTGAATGTCCGAACGAATTTCCAAAAGAAACTCCTGATGGTCGAACTCAACTGGATGAATTCGGATGCCCAGACAGAGATTAATATGTTTCTGCGTGCCACCGAAATGAATCCTTCGAATATTAATTGTGGCGGCTTCTTTGATGTAAATCGTACTCTATTCAAGGGTCTGCTAACCACTATGGTCACCTATTTGGTAGTGCTGCTGCAGTTCCAGATCAGCATTCCAACGGACAAGGGCGACGGCGATGGCAACTCGAATATGACGGTGGTCGATTTATTGATGGATAGCTTAAGCAATGACATGACCTTACTCGGTGCCCCCAGCACTGTAGCTACACCATCCACAACAACAACAGCAGTCCCGTCAACAGTTAGCCGATCTGGGCGCGGCCGAAAGGGCTAAAATAGGTCAAGGTAAATGAAAGCTAAAAAAGAAAGCAAAAACAAACAAACAAAAAATCAACACGAAAGATAAACAACATTAGAATAGCATAGTATAAGAGCAACTTTATATACATATAATCTAAAAATCAATAAGAATATGGCCAAATTAAAACATTTTTCATTCATATAAAATTTTATTGCAAGCGTTACTGTTATTAAAGCTTTAAATTATGTTATTTGTGCCGTAAAAAAGGGGAAAATAAATCAAATAAAAAATTATCAAAAATCCTTATAATTTTTAAAATGTTATATATATTTATTTTTATATTTTATTTGTATATCTAAGAAATCTACATTTTAGTTCAACGTATAGATTTAACTAGCCAATGGGAATAGCTTGCAGTCAACTTAATGGGTGCAAATGAGACAAGTATACAGAATAAAATATTTAATACAGTTGGTATGCTGAGATATTTGCTTATATCGAGTGATGCGGCTTGCTCGGCGATAGCGCAGCATTGAAGCACTCCACGCGAATTACACGAAAGCCCAGGTTCAAATCCTGCAAAGGAACTATTAGAAAAATTTCTTTCCATTTTTTTTTTTTTTTTTTAGTGGTTGTTTATTTTAATTTTTTTTAGTGGTTGTTTATTTAAATTAAGTAAAATTGTTTACAGCTACTAAACGGAGTAGTTTAAAGATTAAAGTGAGATTTTTCAAGCACTACATTGAAAATAGTTTTCGTGTGTATCTAGCATACGGTAATATATATTGCTAGTGTTTAAATAATGTACGTATGTATGTGTATATATTGCCATAAGAATATATATGTCGTATATATATGTTTCTATTTAAATATCCTTCTCGTTGCATTCGCTATCTAAAATAGTTATCTCTGTTTCTTTATACCATATCACACACGTTCCAAAAAACGCTCAAACGAAGAAAAAATAATGAGATTGCAAAAATTATTTAAGACACTTGATGCTGGAAGTTTTGATGCTGCTGGTATGGGGAGGGGTAGGAGTGTATGAATTATTCGTATATAGTCGAAGTTTTTTTTTTTTCGTTTGTTAAGTCAAAGCTATTTAACACTGTCCATCCGGCGACTCAGTCAATATATGCTTATAGCCATTGCTGCCCAAATACATATGCTCTCGGCGGAACTGATAGGGTACCTAAAAGGTAAGTTGATTAGCTTTTTTTTTATGGGGAATACATTGGTAGTGTAAACTCACAGCGCCTGGTGCTGGACAGGGTATAGCCACAGTTGCAATCTCCCGCAGTTTGTTCATTGTGCGTAGACTCTGATAGAAGCTATGCATGATATACCACTTAAGACCATCCATCAAGAGCATAGTATAGCAGATGATTACTAGAATGGGAACGAATTTGAGCTTAGAATATAATCGAAAAGTTAAAATTTATCTAATTTACTTACAATAAGCGCACTGTCCGCCAAATAGCATGGGCAGCTTCGTATCCTTCAGCATGAATATAATGACAGCCACTGCAATGGCGCCCAGAAATTCAATAACCAGCCAGGGTATTATCAGGCCGGGCTTATTCTTGAACACGCCAAAGAATAGGGCTATGGCACTCAAAGCATAAACGCTGGCAATGCCGGATAGTACATAGAGTGCATTTTCGGTAGCATCCGCCAGTTGAGCAGCCGTCTTCAGGCGCATGTCGTTGTGAATGCTATAGAATCCGCTATCCTTCTGATCCAATATATCCATGTCGAGAAGATTACGCATTTGCTCCGCATGCGCCAGACAGAGAAGCACAACAAATAATATCGAGTGCGCAATGAGCTGGAAAGAGAAGTAGAAGAGGAGAGTAAGTAAATTAACGATATGCAAGTGCTATAAATAGACCGACTGAGCAAGCACTAGGGTAAGACAGAGGCAGAACGAGGCTGGAGTGTCAAATGATAAAGGCATTTAAATGCTTTCAAAAGGATTTCGCAGTCATAGTCAACTCTGTTGATCTTTGCAGTGTTGCCAAATTTCTATTTACTGCCTGCAAATGTGTCAGCAAATCAAATGCGCCAAAAATTCTCAACCGGTTTTAGCATTAAGTGTAGCTATATGCAGCTCATTTTCGAAGTTGGGTTATTAAAAAGGGTGCTCGTCTTTGGCGCTTTCCGTATTTTACGAGAAACAGTGCGGACGCATTGTGCCGTTTGCCCATTTCTACGCTCTTCGTGGGCGGGGGCGCGCGTCGAATTGCCGTCTTCGATGGGTGCAAACGCGCATAGTGGGGTATGGCTTTGCATATCCAGTGCATAATTTTTGTGTTAGGGGCATAGGTAGCTGTACGTTTGTGACGGCCGGATAGCGGAGTTCTCTGCGTGCCGGCAGTCCGTACGCTGTGCCCCACATTAATAAATGCATTATTTAAGAGTGAAAGAGAGAGAGGGAGAGGAGACAAAGAAGTGGAGTTGGCGTTTATCTCTAAGCTTACCAGCTGGTAGATGCTCGTCAGCAGCGCTGTGGTGCGCAGATTGCGCGGGGAGACGGGCGACATCAACATGTCCCAGGTCTGGCGCCAGCTCCACTTGACACCAGTTCGGATCGTGGGCAGCAGCATGGTTTTCCAGAGTTTTTCCTTGAGTTAATTTCTATTGTTTACACCGTGGCACAATCAATTAATGGATTTTTTCCCTTAGCGACTCTTAACTTTAGCTATGCTGCTGCTGCTTGCGACTCGCGACTGTGTTTCGGTGTTTCGTCATCCAAATGGAAGAAGCTTCAGAAGGAAGGGTTGGGGTAGATTGGGTCGCGTTACCAACACACGCACGCACGTTAGATATATCGTCGTGGCCCCTAAACTTGATAAAAGCTCTTGCGGTGCCGCGCAAGAAAACGGCACCAAGGTCTGTTATGATTCTTGAAAAGCTTTTAACAGTTGTTTGTTTTCCCGACACAGCTGTAGGCTCT